ATAGTGATGAAGTGAACAGGAGAGGAGGAAGAAGGATGAAGAGCAGGACGTCTGAAGGTTACTCATCCATCAGCTCACAGATGGAGTCATTTACCTCCACAGAACACCATTAAACTGATGATCCTCACACTAAGTTTTGTCCCCGCTGAGCTGCTGTACCTGCTGCGCGCACCGTCCTCCTGTAGACGTCGTCTTCTTCTTCTGCACCGCAGCTGCACGGCTCAGGAAACATCTGTCAGTTTCTCAGCTGCAGTTTCAGGTTTAAGTCCGTTTAAACCCGAGCTGGACTCTTGAGCCTCCCTGCCGGGTCCAGGGAAATCAACTAAATCGGAGGTCAAACCCGGGAGGGACGACTCAAACCAACGCAGGACCGAACTACGATTGGTTCACAATGTTTACCAGGCAGTTAATGTTCTTACGTAACAACACTTCATACGTCTAAATAGGACGATTTTCAAGCGTCCCAAAACGACATGAGACTGTTTTCCAAAATGTACAGAGACCTTTAGTTACGAGGATGAGAGCAAGAGAAAAAGAAATAGATGCTGTAGCTTTTGAGTCTGAGAGAAACTGTCTTCTGTAACCCTGTCAAAGTTGCAGCATGGACATATTAAACTAATTTTACCCTACAGATACGTCATGTGCTCAAATTCAGACACTTTTGTTGTAAAGGAGAAAGGAGTAGTGCATGCAAACTGAAACCAATTTGGAATTTAAATCCTCTTAACTTGAAGTTTCCAAGTTAAACTAACTTGAAATGTCTGACAGTGTACGCGTTGGCACCAGTCCAGGTCAGGCGTACCGGACCTTCAGTACGTTATAGTCACGACATGACGTTTAATGTGGTAAACGGTGATGGCGTGGGAAAAAAGTGCGTTCACACCGAAAGCGAATCCAGCATTTTGGGCGGCTTCATTACACACAAAGTCAATGCGAAGACGCGAATTTGCTCTGGGCGGCGCGAAAGAACCGTTTGTCGTGACATTTGCTGGTTGGCGCGAGTTCAAATTTTTCAACCTGACGCGATGTTGCGAAAGCCTATCAGCGGTGAGATTGTACTATGGTCACCGACGGAGGAAGTGACGTACGCAGACGTACGTGTCTCAGAAGATATCACAATGAAGGAAAGACTGATTGTAGCTGTGTGTGGACAACCAGAGCTGCACGACACAACTCTGTTCACATACAGAGACCGAAACAAGACGGAAGGTGGCCGAGGAAATTGGGCCATCTGGTAAGTTCTGCACATTCGTGTGTCTGCTTGATTACTGCTATTAGTTGTGCTTTACTATGAACCAGATCGCTGTGGGAGGTTGAAGACACACACACACACCACGGGAAACTTGATTTGCTGTAATTAACACTGAAAGCTAGAACGACCAGTTCTATTAGACAATTATTAAATCCACCAAACAACCAACCAAGGCGTCTTTTGTCACTACAGACAGAGGCAGTGAGGTGGAGTCTCTGCTGCTGCCTCTGCAACACCATCAGGTGCGTACACGACATCAATCGTTTCTATGGTATAATGTTTTTTACTATGACTAGTACTGTGTTCAGTACCTTTTCATATTTAAATCATGTTTGTCTGTTTTGATTTTAACTGATTCCTCAAGGGAGTGCTGTACTTTCACTAAATATGGTGTTCTCATTTCATTCAGGGAGGAGGACCAACAACAGGAGCAGGGGGAGCGAGAGGGAAATCGAGATGCTGCTTCTTGAAGCCCTGAAGAGGTCTGCTGCCTCTCAGAGGACGAGCACTTCCTCCAAAAGCCTGCTTGCTTCCCTGCAGAGATTGCCGCCCCAGCAGAAGGAGTTTGTGAAATTTCAAATTCACTGTGGTGCTCAATTTGGAACCAGCAGAGTAGTTTTGTTTCATTTTGTTGTTTTTTTGAACTCATTGTAAATAGTTAGCTGAACCAGTTTAATTAGAGTTTAATGTTAAAATGTTTCCAGTGTTTGTACAAAGTTGTAAATACATATTCCTTATTTACAAAAATACAGTTTACTCAGTCTTTATGTCATGATAGATATTTAGTTTGTTTGAAAAGTTCAGGTCAGGTTTGTATGATCATCTCACTGCAGCGTAAACATGGTTTTGTGTTTGTTTAGCTGCTAAACGTGGTCATACTTCCATCTGCACTAAATACTGTACAAAAACTATACTGTTACTACATAATCAGTACGATCATAAACCAAAAATTCAGACACTTTCATGATGGCAGATGTCGAGATTTTCCTTTTATTTTGCTGGCAGTATAAAACTACTGTAGTTCTGAATATTCATCTTTACAGTGAACAGTGGTGTCTGCTGTTGAGTTGTAGCTGGATTCACTCGCAATGTCAATAAACCACAGAAATAAATGAGACACAATCTTCTATGACATGAATATAAATTGATGACCTTATTTTTATTGACTTATTGCAGGGAGTTTGCTCATTAGTTATGTGTCGGTCGTTTTGGGTTTGCTTGTGCACAACTTGGTGTCTTGCCGTGGGACAGATCCCTCTGCAGAGAAGTAGGATGTGAAGGTCTCTCTAACCCTGATGGCTTCTCTTGCCGAGTTGTTGGCAGCAAGTCTTCCCAGACCTGGTAAGTGGCTCCACCTCAACATCAGGGATGCTCGCCCTCGCTGCAGATGTCTGGGTTGTCCTCCGCGGGAAATTATGGAGAACACAGGTGGCCTTAACACACTTCTCTGCAACATCCGGATGCACCTCGATGGCACGCCTGTACATCCCCCGCTGGGAAGAGAGGATCCCAAAGGCATTCTCCACAACCGACCAACCGACCGGACAGACGGTTGTTAAAAACCCGACGCTCTCTTGGAAGGATGCGCCCAGGGAATGGCCTCTTTTCTCCGAATCCCACCGTCGCTCGTTCGGCCGTAGCCCCCGACATCAATCACTCGGAAACAACACTCAGCATCCACAACTGCAAGAACAACTAGTGAAAAGTTTCCCTTGTACTTGAAGAACTGGGATCCTGAGTCAGATCCTGAGTTGCCATCCAGCGCTCCACAGCAGAGAGGAAAATTCCACCAGTTCCTGGAGAAGGCGGTGAAATTCCCCCGAGCTGTGTGCGCCTCCTGCTGGTTTCATGCACCCAAACACGACGGCGTTTGGTTTTCCGACGTATTCCTGACACAACAGATACAAAGCAGCAACAGCTGGTGTATCGGCCGTGGCGTCTGACAGAAAGAACGGGCGGAAAGAGATGTTTTCGTTATTTACGCCGAAGTCCCTCCTCCTCTCCTCTTTCCGGAAGAGAAGGGAAAGTTCACGTACTGGCGTACTCGGCGGTCAAACGAGGCGACTATGAAATTTGCTTTTGGTGTGGACGCAGCTTTAGTGTCGGACTTTCATGGCTGTTTATATCCCACACGCGATGATGACAATAGGCATAAAATGGCGCGCCGTTTCTGCATAATAGAAGTTAACGCAGTCTAAACGGCGTGAAATGACACGCGAAAACCAAAAATTGCGTTGTAATATCACGCCAAATTTATTTCTGTGTTATTTATCCGCCTTTTGATATCAGTCTCCTGGGTGTAAGTCCAGTTTCTGTCGCAACCACGCACCTCATTTCTTGGACGTTACTGTTTATCGATAGTAGATTTAGCGTTGAACAATGGCGCTACAGGGAACCACACGGGCGTTGGTCCCAGACGCAGAAAGACGGGAAAAGTTCTGGGAATGAGGCTAGAAAAACAGTGTAGTGGTAATGTGACCTGCTTTGTAAAGACAGCTTTCTGAAATGTTGTTTTGTTTATGTTGCTTAATTCAGGTTGTAGAATTTGGGGAAATATTTCGCTTCTGCTGAAAAGCTCTGTCTCCATGTTCTCTCTCTCTGTTCCCGCCTCCCCCAGGAGTGCCGGGAAAAAAAGAAGAACCACACACGTGCGCAGTGAGGGCTCGCGCTGTCATTATCCCAGGCGCGTGCCGCCCACAGGCTCCTCTTGTCTCGTGCGGGATTTGTCCCCCTCGGTTGGTCAGAAACCAGCGGCTCGTGATGCTTCGCGCGGCAGATTCCGCTTCACGTCAAGTCAGCTGCAGTTAGGCAGCTCGAGACCGGAAACAGCACGTCTACCAGTCAAAGTAAAAGCCGCAAGTTTGGAAAGCAGCGATACTACTAATGAATAATGTAATAATTAACTTCCCCAAATCATTGTAAACATAATAATAATAATAATAATAATAATAAGCTTAATTTATATAGCCCTTGTATCGTGTAACTCAAATTGCTTTACAAGATAAACAAACATCAACACACAAATATAGAAGGAATATAAAATAACAAGTGTTAAAATTAAAGTGTGGAATTAATTAAAAGCTTAGATCAGTGAGTTTTCACACTCAGCTTATATGTGGACCTGAATATGTCTAAACAAAGGCATATTTATTTTCTAAAAACAGAGTTATCAAGAATTTTGCTGAGACTAGCAATTCAAGCAAAACATGTGTTTTCAGTAAAACACTTTTTGTGACATCTTATATGATCATTTATTTCCTTTAAAAAAAGACAAATGAAAGAAATTCATTCTCTGCACATTGTTTATGCAGCTGATATAAAAGCCTGTTGTAGCCAGTTAACCATCACCGGTTAACCTTTTTTTGACTTCTGATCTTAAATAAAGTAAAACGTACTGTTTGACCCTCGTCACACATTCTGCATTGTTAGTTATTTATAAAAATCTGTAGCCCTGAGAAACTATATTCAACCAAAAATAAAAGTCTATAGAAACTGTTTTTATATTAAAATTTTATTTCTGTATTAATCTAATGATTCCTCAGATTTATCGTGTGACTCCTTGTGGGGTCCCGACCCAGAGGTTGGTTACCGCTTTTGACTCAGCCAGAACAACGTTTGGTCATCGTGTTTTATTTTGAAAATATCTTCCCGGAAGCCGCAACCGTGTCCGCTGTGTTCGCCTTCACCGCCCTGTTCGCTCGGTGACGTCTCTCGCCGGTGAAAGCCACCGACTCTCCGCCCGGTCCGACCGCTTCTCTCCCGCTTCTTCCCCTGGAGCTCACAGCGGCATCACGGCATCACGGTGCCCCGACTCTGCGCCTCTCTTCCCCGGCCTGACGGGCCACGACGAGCCGCTGACAGCAAGGACACGGAGCGGGTGCCGCTCAGGATGATGGATGTAACTCCGGTACCGACTAACGGACAAGGAGCCCGGTGGACTCGGCGGAGGGGCAGCAGGGACCTCTGAGCCTCCTACGGAGGATTCTGGCGCACCGACGTTGTTTTCTTGAATTTTAATCTCTTTTTTTCTACAATGTCACCATCAAGGAGACGCGGCTGAGGCACCGGCTCCTCCTCTCGGATCTCCGCGGACCGTCATCCTCCTCTGCGGTTCTAACGGTTTTAGCTAACGTTAGCTCCGGTATGAGCAGAACCGGACCTCCCCGTCAGATCTGACCGGGGGTTTTGGGGGGTCGGCGGCGGGGTGCCGGTGGGGACACGTTTGGGTTTTTGGATGAGAACCGGATTCCGTGCGGAGGGACGCCGGACGGAGCGGAGGAGGAGGCGGAGGGAGGAGCAGCAGCAGCGCAGCAGCAGCTGCGGGGAACCGAATTGACAACCTCATCCCCGGAGGGAGAGACGCAGCGAGGCGGCCAGAGGAGGATGTGAAGATGGGTTTAGTTTTCGGTCTCCTGTGGCTGTTTACGGGCTTCCTGCAGGGCGTGCACGGCCAGGGCGTGTACGGTAAGCACGTCACTAACACACAATTAATATTCTCTTTTTAATTTCTAAATATTTATTCACGTTAAATCTGATTTTAACGCCTCATCGCAGCACAAGCAGCGGAAAACCGGAATACCACCCACACCAAGTTGACCTTGTGAGGGATTTAGCGCGTGTGTCGGGTAAATGTGTGCGCGCGCGTGTGTGTGTGCCTTGCTCATTCACACATATTACATTAATGCCCAGCCTAAAGGCACAACAGGTAGACGAACACACACCTGTGAATACGGGGTGGTTCTGGTGGTAGAAGTCCTGACACCATCATGCTTCACAGTGCTTCTGTATATCAGTCCTGCGGGTCTGTAGGTCAGGTCTCTGTGCAGGTCTGTGGGTCTGTGTTGGGTCTCTTTGGTTCAGGTCTGGACAGGGTTTCTTTGGGTCTGTGAAGGTCTGTACCGGGTCTCTGCGGGTCTTTGCAGGTCTGTCCTGGGTCTCTGTGGGTCTGTGCAGGTCTGTACAGGGTCTCTTTGGGTCTCTGTAAATCTGCACCGGGTCTCTGTGGGTCTCTGTAGGTCTGTACCGGTTCTCCATGGGTCTCTGCAGGTCTGAACCGGGTCTCTGCAGGTCTGTCCTGGGTCACTGTGGGTCTCTGCAAATCTGTACCAGGTCTCTGTGGGTCTCTGTAGGTCTGTACCAGGTCTCTGTGGGTCTCTGTAAATCTGTACTGGGTCTCTGCAGGCCTTTGCAGGTGTGTCCCGGGTCTGTGCAGGTCTGTACAGGTCTCTGTGGGTCCTGTGCAGGTCTGTACAGGTCTCTGTGGGTCCTGTGCAGGTCTGTGCAGGTCTGTACAGGTCTCTGTGGGTCTGTGCAGGTCTGTACAGGTCTCTGTGGGTCCTGTGCAGGTCTGTGCAGGTCTGTACAGGTCTCTGTGGGTCCTGTGCAGGTCTGTACAGGTCTCTGTGGGTCCTGTGCAGGTCTGTACAGGTCTCTGTGGGTCCTGTGCAGGTCTGTACAGGTCTCTGTGGGTCTGTGCAGGTCTGTACAGGTCTCTGTGGGTCTCTGCAGGTCTGTACAGGTCTCTGTGGGTCTCTGTAGGTCTGTACCAGGTCTCTGTGGGTCTCTGTAAATCTGTACCGGGTCTCTGCAGGCCTTTGCAGGTGTGTCCCGGGTCTGTGCAGGTCTGTACAGGTCTCTGTGGGTCTGTGCAGGTCTGTACAGGTCTCTGTGGGACTCCAGAGACGGTGACATGATGTGTAGTTTGGATCTCTGACCGCTCTGGAACATTGTGGTTCCTGTGGAACTTAACGAGCTCTGACTGACCTTTAATATACCTGTGCTGCTTTCCTCCTACAGTTACGGTAATAACGTTCTGAATGTGACGTTCGAGTGAGTCCGTGTTTTTTCAACCCTCTGTAGCTGCTTTTAGTTCAGTTCAACATCTTCTGGTCCAACTTCCTAGATTTGATGTAGGAATATCAGAAAATGCGCAGAAAAATCAAGGTGCACTTGCTAGCTTTATTTCTGGATCCTTCCACCGCATGTCATGGTCTTCATCAGCTGAGGAGCCTTTGGAAGGAGACACGAGTCTCCTGCGGACACTTACCTGAGGAGGTAGACACAAATAGACACGTAGATCGCAGTCCATACACGCGGGCAGCTCAGTGTGCTTTACTGCGCTTTCAGACCAAACGTGAATTTAAATTTTGGCGTCGCTTTTCTCGGGCGACTGTGATTGTTCAGTAAAAATTCTAATAAACACAACCCGTGTTTACTAAAGTGGTATGAACCCAACATGAACATTTTACTGTGATCAAAATGATGCAGAAATAACTTACAACATGATGCTGATTTGTTCAAGTCTGTCAGTGAGACAGCAAATTTTAAAATGCTTGTTTTCTGAATGGAGTTTGGTACACGGTATAAAAACTATGTTGATTGCAGAGGTATAAAGTTTAGTTTCATGAAGTGCAAAAGTACAAGCAGGCGTTACAGTAGATACAAATAAAAAAATATTGGTACATAAATGAAATGAAATAAATGAACAAAGCAACACAAACACACATTTAAATGCACCATCTAAGATAAAAAGTTTTTAGCTCTAAATTAAAGTTTATTAAAGAGCCTTTTTGAAATAAATTTCAGCTTCTCCGGGTCGTGCTTGGACAGTGGTCTGGTGTTTTTAGATTGTAGTAACGGGAATACGTGTAGTAGTCTTGCTCTGTAGTACTGCTACTACTTTAGGTGCCACCTGTGCAGAGCATGTCCCTGTTACTGCACGTTTTAAAGCTGATGCTACATCGTGTTACTCTCTTTGACCATCTTGCATTATGGGCCTGGCGCCGACCCCTTACGTGCCTGAGAGCATACAATAGAAAGACTCAAGTAAAGTACAACTGTAATAGTATTACTGGTGTATTGCTGTGACACAGTACTTTAAACCGTGTTGCACAGAACTCTTTGGTACCACCTGAGGCATCTTCTTTATATTATATTCAGGTTAATAAGTACGTTTGGTCTCCAGTCGCCATAACTTTTCCATATTTCACTGAATCCGTTAAGCCGTCTGCACAGTTTATTTCCAACATGGAGGTAATAGTTTCGAAGCCTTCTTCGCGCTGCCTGCAGAGTAACTGTGCTGCAGAAACACTAAAACCTTATTTATTAATCTACTTATGTGTGTTGCGGCCTGAAACAGCTGTTGGATTTTAAATATAAACTCCCTACAGGAAGCTAACACACAAAACAGACCTGAGGTCAGGTGTCCCCCCTCCTGAAGGGGATCAATGTGGTTTATTATTTTACTATGTCCTCCAGGCTGACAGCGAGTTCACCAGGTTTCACGATGAAATATTCCTTTAATATCTCTGTGGGGATGTTTTAGTGGTGATTTCATCTGTGTTTTATCACCTGTGATATTCCACTACACCTTCATGCTGAATATATACACCTGCAGTACTTTTTTTCTCATGGTTCAGCTGTATACTGCTTATATCTGGCTTTATGGAGGTTTTACTGTACACTATATACTACTAGTCGTGTCCTCGCTGGACGTTTTATAGAGTTCACTTTTATTCTCCATGAGCAGTCGTGCATGAAACCGTCAGTCGGTCCCTCTGAGGAAACATCTGGAAGCTGATTATTTTGTCTTTGCTCTGAGTCCGGATGCAGGACGACATCATGAATAGTTTAAAGGAGGCCGGAGGATCAGGACAGTAATGCAGTAGTGGAGGTAGCAGCTGTAGTAACGAGTGGTGGAGCTCTGAAAATTTTCCAAGTCTCTGACTGCCGTCTACAATCAATCAATCAATCAATCAAACTTTATTTGTACAGCACCTTTTGTGCGTTTAAGATAAGCACATAAAATAAAACCTAGGTTACATAGATAATAAATGTATAAGACTTACTTTAAGGTGATGGTAATGTAATGACGGTAGTATTACTGTAATGACGGTAATATTACTGTAATGACGGTAATAATACTGTAATGACGGTAGTATTACTGTAATGACGGTAATAATACTGTAATGACGGTAATAATACTGTAATGACGGTAGTATTACTGTAATGACGGTAATATTACTGTAATGACGGTAATAATACTGTAATGACGGTAGTATTACTGTAATGACGGTAGTATTACTGTAATGACGGTAATAATACTGTAATGACGGTAATAATACTGTAATGACGGTAGTATTACTGTAATGACGGTAATAATACTGTAATGACGGTAATAATACTGTAATGACGGTAATAATACTGTAATGACGGTAGTATTACTGTAATGACGGTAATAATACTGTAATGACGGTAGTATTACTGTAATGACGGTAATAATACTGTAATGACGGTAGTATTACTGTAATGACGGTAATAATACTGTAATGACAGTAATTATACTGTAATGACAGTAATTATACTGTAATGACAGTAATTATACTGTAATGACGGTAATAATACTGTAATGACAGTAATTATACTGTAATGACGGTAGTATTACTGTAATGACGGTAATAATACTGTAATGACAGTAAATGACAGTAATTATACTGTAATGACAGTAATTATACTGTAATGACGGTAATAATACTGTAATGACAGTAATTATACTGTAATGACAGTAAATGACAGTAATTATACTGTAATGACAGTAATTATACTGTAATGACGGTAATAATACTGTAATGACAGTAATTATACTGTAATGACGGTAATAATACTGTAATGACAGTAATTATACTGTAATGACAGTAATAATACTGTAATGACAGTAATTATACTGTAATGACAGTAAATGACAGTAATTATACTGTAATGACGGTAATAATACTGTAATGACAGTAATTATACTGTAATGACGGTAGTATTACTGTAATGACAGTAATTATACTGTAATGACAGTAATTATACTGTAATGATGGTAATATTACTGTAATGACAGTAATTATACTGTAATGACGGTAGTATTACTGTAATGACGGTAGTATTACTGTAATGACAGTAATTATACTGTAATGACAGTAATTATACTGTAATGACAGTAATTATACTGTAATGACGGTAGTATTACTGTAATGACAGTAATTATACTGTAATGACGGTAGTATTACTGTAATGACGGTAATTATACTGTAATGACAGTAATTATACTGTAATGACGGTAGTATTACTGTAATGACGGTAATTATACTGTAATGACAGTAAATGACAGTAATTATACTGTAATGGCGGTAGTATTACTGTAATGACGGTAGTATTACTGTAATGACAGTAATTATACTGTAATGACAGTAAATGACAGTAATTATACTGTAATGGCGGTAATTATACTGTAATGACGGTAGTATTACTGTAATGACAGTATTTATACTGTAATGACGGTAATTATACTGTAATGACGGTAATTATACTGTAATGACAGTAATTATACTGTAATGACGGTAGTATTACTGTAATGACGGTAGTATTACTGTAATGACGGTAATAATACTGTAATGACAGTAATTATACTGTAATGATGG